TGGGCTTCTGGGCCAGAGACCTGTAGAGAATCCCTCCCAATGTCTCTCTTCCTTTGTTCCCATCTGAGCTGGTAGAGGAGCCTCCGATGGCTGGGGCTGGGGGGCGGTGAGTATAGGCCCCAGAGAAAAGGCAGAAAGGTCTTTTGTAACAGGAGGAAAGAAAGGGAGTGTTGCCATGTCTCACTTTTGCAGCGCCCTAGATGTTCTGACCATTTGTGCCTTGCCATTGTGTGTACCAGTCACTGAGAAGGGGGCTGTCCAGTATCCGCTGAATGAAGCAAATAGTGTCTCTGAGACCTGAGGTTCCTCTGTTACCTCTTCCCCAAGGGCAGAATCTTCCTCTTCCGCTTGATCTAGGATGCTTACTTACACCACGAGTTTTTTCTAGGATATAAGGGAGTCCGTGGGGTGGGGTGGGGGGTGGGGAGGGAACGTCTCCTTTAACTGACGGGTTTGGACTGCCCTCTCTCACAGAGTCGGAACGATGTCATCCGAGAACGCTTTGGAATGGACTCCAAGCCAGAGATGCTTTTGGGCCTTGCTGCCCTCCACATCTATATCACTGTCTCAGCTACTCGACCTAGTCAGAAGATCTCACTCAAGAATGTGGAGTGAGTTGCGCCAGGGCCCTTCCGGATGGGGGCAAATAGCTGTGTAGGGAGAAGGTGCAGTGGTTGAGCTGTGCTCTGCGTTTTAGGAATGTGGGCCTGGGATGGGAGTGAGAATTGGAATTCCTCACACCGAGACCAGGATGCCCTTGGGCTACAGCTTCTACTAGAGAACTGTGGCCAATGTTACTCGCCTGCCTCCAGCCCCTCTCTGTCTCTCTCTCCTAATCTCCATTCCTCCATCTCTGTCTCAGATTTCAGCTAGTTTCTGTCTTACCATTTTGCTTTCTCTGTCTCACCTTGTCTCTCTAATTTCTTACTTTTCTTCTGCTTTTAGGAAGGAGTGGGGCCTGGAACCCTTTCTTCCCCCCTCCCTCCTACAGGGCATCAAAGAGAAGAACCTCCGGAAATCTCTCTCTCAGCAGCTGAAGGCGCACCAAACACATCCTTCCAGCAGCACCAAGGTATCCAGAGTAGGCCACCGGGCACCCTGCTCGGGCACTAGTGGCCATGGGGGACTCCTGTGTGCTTTCCCAGCAGGTGTGGTCTTCTGGGGAACCCTCCCCACTGTTTTTGACTTGGATACACATCTAGCTTGGCCAGATATGGGGCATGATTGTGGAGAGGGGTTTTCCCCAAGCCTGAGACACCCCCAGAGACTGCTCAGTGGCAAGTAACTGGGAGAGCCCAGGGTCCTCAAAGCAAAGGGACAAAGGTGCAGGAGGAGAATATTCTTGGGTCGTTCCACCCATTTAGTCAGTGCTGATGAAGCACTTGTCGTGTGGACAGCACTGGACCCTGGGGAGACATGTTTCCCGTGGAAACAACTGCTCTGTCCCTCATCAGCTTTCTAATTCATCAGCCCTGGTACAGGGAATTCTGGGAGATAAAAGCCCAGCCCCATGGGGCAAGGCCTGACCTGGAGAATGGGTCGCCGGGTGGCGGGTGGAGGACTCAGGTCACTGCTGTGCTCTCCTGCGCTTTCCCACTCCCTGCCTTCCCAGCCCCGCAGGCCCTTCTCAGGCTTGCAAGGCTCAGTCTGCTTGCCTAAGAGGCAGGCGGGTGGTGAGGGGCACCAGAATCCACATGCAGATGGAGACACTGGACACAGTTGCCCCCTTATATTCCACCCATGCCAGACTCCCTGCATTACCAACTAGCTTCTCTTTTAAAATGCAGATTTCCCCCGAGAGTTAAGCCATTCCTACTTTGCTGTGCATATTTAATCAGATTGTTTTCTTCCCAGCTGAGAGCTTCAGGGCTCCCAACCATCTCCTCAGCAAACACTTTTTCTGAGCGCCCCCCACCCCCAGTGCTTGGGCCGGAGATACAAAGATGAAGAAGGCCCGGTCTCTGCCCTCAAGTCAGGCACGGGCTGGTGGGGAAACAAGAGGCAGTCACAACACAGTGCGACCAGTGCAGGTGCCCTGGAAGCGCGGAGGAACAGCAGCCAGCCCAGCCTGGAGGAGATGGAAAAGGCCAGGAGTCGGTGCATTTGATGCCAGAGTTGGGTCTTAAAGGACAGATAGAAGTTTGTCTAGATGAGTTGCGGGGAGGAAGACTTTCCCAGGCAGGGAGATCCAAAGAGATCAGCAGAAACCAGTGCAGAGGGTTCAAGGAAGCTGCCTGAGTGGGGTGCGGGCAAGAGAGGAGGCCGAAGAGGTTGGCAGGAACCTGTTCACGGAGGGCCTCGTGTGCCGTGGAAAGGGGTTATCCTTCACCCTGTAGGCAGCATGGAGCCACTGAAGGCTTTAAGCGGCCAGTGGTGTGATTATGTTTTAGGCTGTTCCCTCTAACTGAAAATGTGGAGGGATGGACGGAAAGGAGTGTTAGTACTGAAGGTAACCCGGCTGCCACCGTGATGCAAGTGGGGGACATCCAGGCAATGACCACGGGGCTAGAGAAGAGGGATGGGTAGGGTGGAGAGGGACTTAGGAGGTAGAATCAAGATGATCTGGTGACTGGTGGCCCTCAGGTGAGAGGCTGAGGGAAGAGTCCAGTGTGACTCACAGGTTTCTGGCTCAAGTGCCCGGGGGATGCGGGTACCACTGTTGGAGACTTTTCTGCCAGAGGAAGAGCAGGCTCGGGACTTAGAGGTGCTCAGGATAAAGGTACTGAGTGCGACCCCCAGTTGGGGAGGGCCAGTACCTAGTGGCCATCAGGGATCTCAGGAGAGAGGTATAGATGTCGTGGGGTGTTGGAGTTGGGGAAAGGCGTCGAAATTAACCGAGGAACAAAATGAGTAAGCTGGATTCTTCAGGAATGAAGATCGGGGGATAGGAGGAGGGTTTAGGAAGGGAGATGGGATGCTAGAGTCTGGCAAGAGCTGTCCAAACTGGAACCTTCCTGTGGTTCTCCCGAGTGTCCCACAGTGGGGCTTTCTGACTGGTCTGACTAGTGCCTGTCCTAAGCTGTTGACCCTCCTTCCTGCGAACATGGGTTTGCTTTTCCTGTGCACCTCAAGTTTCTCATATTTCTGAGTCGGTTGTTTCCACAGGGCTCTGCAATTCAGGCCAAACTCCAGTATCTTCGAATTCTGAATGAACTTCCGACGTTCACGGGCGTTTTGTTCAACACTGTGGGCCTGGTCAGTGAGGGCAGCGAGGGGGAGGGAACCCTTCGGGGGCGCTTGTCCTTGGCTGGGGGGACAGGAGAGACTCCATTAGATCCTTCAGGTGGCATGCTCTGTCCTCTTCCTCCTTCTTCTCCCTCTTCCCTCCCGTGGTGCTCTGGTCCCGCCTCTGGTAAAATGGTGAAAGTAGGAGGCAAAAAAATAAAATAAAAAATTTCAGGAATTCCCCGGCGGTCCAGTGACTAGGACTCCACGCTGTTACTGCCCAGGGCCTGGGTTCGATCCCTGGTTGGGGAATTAAGATCCCGCAAGCCTCGCGATGCGGACAAAAAGAAAAGATAAAATGTAAAGTAGGAGGCTATATTTGTTAACAGTATCCCTCTAGGCTCTTTTGTGCCCCCTTTTCTCAATTTCAGAGGTTAGCAAGCTTTTTTTATAAAGGGCCAGATAAGTGAATAGTTTAGGCCTGGCCGGCAGGCCATGAAGGTCCCTGTCGCAACTACTCAGCCCGGCCGTTGCAGCATGAAAGCAGCCGTCGACAACGCATAGACACATGGGCCTGGCTGTGTTCCAATATCTCTTTGTTTACAGGACACTGAAATGTGAATTTCATGTGATTTTCACATGTCACAAAATACGGTTCTTTTGAATTTTTTCCAAGCATTTAAAAATGTATAAAACCATTCTTAGTCCGTGAGCTGGACAAAAACTGGCAGAGGGCTGGATTTGGCCTGTGGGCCAGAGTTTGCCGACCCCTGCCCTGTTTCATTGCTCTTACCCATATTCCCTCAATCCCCTAGCCCAGACGTCCCCCCTCCCTGCCAGGGCCTTCACTACAGCAACGCTCCTCTCCAGCAGGGCACAAGTGGTCCCCCTAAGACTGTGCCCCAGGCTAGTTTACCCTAGTGAGCCTCGGTGAAAGGAAATTCAAATCATCTTGCTGACTGGATCCAGGTGCTTGTCACGCTCTGGGGAACACGCTGTCATGCTCGTGGGGCAACTGATGGAAAGCCGCTTACCGAAGCGTCTAGAGCAGATGGAATAGGTTCCTCGGGAATGATGCTAATGCCAGGGAATGGGCCGGCAGAGGGCTCAGGCTTGATGGCGTCAAGGAGCCTGTCACGACCACTTAAGGGAATCCAGTCCATCAGGCGCAGAGGTGGCCACTTACATACTGGGATTTGAGGATTACGGAAAGCCCAGTGCTGAAATTCTTATAGGTCATTCCTCTGGGGTAAGACTGCTGTAATGCCTATTAAAGGGCAAATATCTTCTTAGGGAGGGAGGTCCCCCTCCACTCCTCCAGTCATTAAGCGCCCAGTCAACCTTTGACGCCTTGGGCAGAGTTACTTTGTCACTTCAGCTTTTAGCACCAGGCGAGAAGTGCAAGTTCAAGTGGCTGTTGGTGAGGGAGGGTAAAGACCAAACACAGGATGCCACCTGTTCAGACAGAGCACCAGGTGGGAGCCTTGAGTGGCCTGAGGCAACAAATGGAAAATCCCTGGGGCTTGGTACGAAGAGGGTGCTTCCAAGGCACCAAAATAAACCTCACCTATTTGACGATTTTGCTAGAACCAGCCCTGCTGCTGCCCTCTTCACTCTCCCTTCTGCTGAGGCTAATGTGTCCATTTGGACCGATGATCCGGGGCCCTGGCCTGAGAACAGGGGCATCCCAGACCATTTTCCCCTCGAGGTTGTCCTCTGGCCCTGGCACTGAGCTCCAGATGTTTCCAGACCTTCCAGCAGAACCGGTCCAACGCCTGTTTTCTGTTTCCTCCTCCCGCCTCCTCTCCTCACTTCCTCTGCCCTTCTTTCTTTGAATGCTGCCCACCACGCTGGGGCACCAGGATGAGAAGCAGTCGGCCACCACCCTCCTAGTGGGACCCCGTCACGGCATCAGCCATGTTATTGACCTCAAAACCAACCTCACCACTGTGCTGTCCGAGTTCAGCAAGATCAGCAAGATCCAGCTGTTCCGGGAGAACCAGGGCGTGGCCCGGGTGGAGACCAGCATCATGGATGCCAAGGTAAGCGCGGCTTCGAGGGGCTACTTCTTCCCAGGAACAGGCCTTGGGAACAGAGGAAGAAGTAAACTTGAGAAACAGAGTGTCAACCCATTAGGTGAGGTTCAGTGATTCTGAAGTGGTTCAGACCCTGGGCCTTTGGGGACTCATCTTTCTTTCTGTTCTCAACCCTCTGGGACACTGTCTTGACCCCATATTAAGATCAGGCGGTGCTAGGGAAGGCTAGAAAGTGTCTGATCAACCTGTGACAGGTTTTCAGCAATGGGCAGGGGGATTGGGGAACTCGGAGCTACCTCCCAGGCCATTGCTTCCCAATCTTTCTCGTGTCACAGCACACAGAGAAAATTATATTCATGCAGGACACTGGGTTAAATGGACCAGCCCCGGGGACTCTGGCCACCCCAGGCCCCGCCTGGCTGCCCCCGAGGCTGAAGGGATATGTGCATGCCAGTTAGGGAGCTCTGCCGTAGGCGTGCACACTTGGATCCATGGATGAGAGGGTGTCTGAGTATGTGGACAGAACCAAGGGGGCCTGGGGAGACAGGGAGCAGGCAGAACCTCGTCCCCATTTCACCTCCCAGGGTCCAGCTCTTCTCGAATCTTAGAACCTTTCCCATAGATCAGCTCGTTCAGACTGGCAAGCAGCTGTCGCCTGTGCAGAGTCTGACAGCCGTGGTCAGCCGCCTCCTCCATGGCTCTCCTGTTTCAACACCCAGTGACCAGTGTGGGTGGCGGAAGGCCGGCCTGCCAGCTGGCGGATGCTCTTAGAGGAGGTGCAAGTTTCCTTTCTTAAAGGATTTCCCGGGGGGAGATATTGTTAGCAGATTAACAGGTGGAACGTTTGCTCTCTCTAAAAGAGCAAATTATTTATTTGTGTCTTTGTGAAACCCAGGAAGCTTTAATATGTTAAGTTTTCCACCTGTGATTCACAGGCTTCCCATTGGTTTAGGAACCTGCCCGGAGCTGATATTTCATTGGCTTGTGGCCACTACCTCAACCAATGATTGCTGCCCTCCTCAGATGTTGCTGGGTAAAAAGCCAAACGGACAGGTAGGGAAGCGTGGGAGGAAAGACAAGACATGCAGGGGAGATATGGCTTCCTGAGAAATAAAAAGGGTTTAAAACTAGAAACACCTTTCCAACCAAGTCTCCTATGTTCTACGAGTGATTCTCAATGTTGGCTACGCAATAGAATTTCCTTGAGAGCTTTTAAAAAATACAGATGACTGGACCCTACTCCCAGAGATTGTGATTTAATTGGTCAGGGTACAGCCTGAGCGTCAGGATTTATTTCTTTTTCACTTCCCAGGTGATTCTGTAGTACAGCCAGGTTTGAGAACCACTGACCTCTGGGTCCAAAGCTCTGGGAGGAACCAGCCCAAGCAGGGTCAGTGGATGTTGCCTGAGTGAGGAACACTATTCTCATTTCTAGGAGTGATCTGGCCACAGTTGTGGGCATGAATGCTGCCCAGGAGGGGTCTCGCTCTTAGTGGGGAGACTCACAAAGGCACATGACCTGCCTTAATCACACCACATTGGAACATGTATGGAGTTCTGGAATCAGACAGACCAGGTTCAAATCCCAGCTCTACCACTTCCTAGCTGTGTGGCCTTGAAAAGGTGTCTTAACTTCTGTGAACCCTGATTTCCTCAACTGCAAAATGGAGTGCCTTCCTCCATAGGTTGTCTTTCAGGATTAAATGAGAAAATGTAGGTAAAACGTCTTAGGACACTGCCTGACACAGAGTAAGTAGTCAACAAACGAGACCTGTTATTTTTCCGAAGCAAAACAGCAATGAGGAGAAGTTCATATGAAGTAAAATTTTGTAGGTAAGTGTGGTGTGGAACATGGAACAAAAGAAGAGGAAGGGGTTAACCAGAACTGGCTTCCCACAAGAGGGTATTTGAAGCTGGATCTTGAAGTGATAGGCATGGATTAGCAGGGAGAAGTGGGATGTGTTCACAGGAAGAGAGTAAGCACAGAAATAAGTAAGCCATATGTGCAGGTCGATAAGCATAGTTGCTTGACTGGAGAGGAGAATAACGAGAAAAGAGATTGGAGAGAGATTGGCAGTGGGCAGAAGAAGCTGGTGAAAAGCTTCGAAGGCCAGTCTGAGGAATTGAGAATCCTAGTGGGAATCCACTGTAGGCCCTTGAAGAGAGGAGTGACAGGATGGAAGCTGACTGGGACCAATGTACCAGATGGTTGTCTGCAAGGCTAGTGCCAAGCCAGGGAGGCGGGGAGGGGATCGTAGTGCTAGTGCAGGTGTGAAGTGACAAGGGCAGGGCCTGAGCTGGAGGAATAGCAGTGGTAATGGAAAAGAAAGAGTGAGGATGAAACGTAGAATCACTAAGAGTGCACGCGTATCCCCTTACACATTCCTGTCTTGCACACACAAAGCATAAGTCATACGTAACCCTTACTGCCTGCTGCCTATATCCTGAGTGCACTGAACGACAGTGCTGCGCACGCAGCACACGGACGGTCCAAATCGTGGGTGGGTGAAGAGGTGAGAGCCTACGTCGCAGGATAAACAGGACATCGTGTTGGTGCATGGAGGGGGCTACGAGAAGGTTGCACTTTGCTGAGTGAGTGCTGTGGAGGCAAGAACTCAAAGGTACCGGTCCCCTGGGACTCAAGGACCGTCATCTTGTACACTTACTCCTCCAGACCCCTGGATTCCGATTTTGTTTCCCTGTTTTCAGGGATGCTAGCATGAGGTAAGGCTACCCCAAAGCCAGTCCCCTCCCTAGCTGGCATCCCAAAGTGCTGGCTGTGTTTGAGCTCCCAGGGCACCCCAGGAAGGAGATGGGGCTAGAGCATGTCAAATTAATGCCTGCTGTACCTTCTCAGGGCTGGCCATGCCTCCAACTCCATTCTCCTTTTCTCCTTTTCCATTTGAAGATGGCCTGGGCATATTTAGTTACAGTTTTCACTCAGCTTACTTGCTCTTCAGGAGACAGCACAGTCTGGGAATGAGACAGCTCTGGGCCACTACCATACCCCATTACCACAGGAGCCCGTAAGGGGGGAAAGTAAACCATCAAAGGAAAGTCCCAAGGGATCTCTTGCGGTCCAGTGTGTCTCCTCTTCTCGTGTTTGAGCCTCATTGCTCTCGTGCTTTCTGTCGGGACAAGCATTACATTAGACGTCATGATCATTAAAATTCTATTTAAAATAAAATGTTGTCTCTGAAGGTTTCTAAGAAAACCTATCCAGTCTCTTTGCTTGCCTGCCTTTGATTTGATTTTTACCCCTGCTGGCAAAAATTGCTTCTGTGTCCCTTTTGCCAGCTGCATTTGGCCGGTGCTGGGACCCAGTGGGCTGTGGGTGGATGCAGACAAGAGGCTGCTGATGTGCTGTGCTGAACCAGTTCGGGCTGTGTTCGGCCCTCTCTGGGCACAAGGTTTTGCCTTCATGCTGTTTTATTACCGACATTGGGCTGTATTGGGGGTAAGAGAGAAGAGGGGAAATTGAAGGCAGACAGTTAAGTCCATCAGCCAGTTAGGCACTCAGCCTCCGATCTGTCCATCGGCCAGCAGACCAGCCAGCCAGGCGGCTAACCAGTCAGGATGTCAGGCTGGGAGGCATTGTGCCTGTCCTGCAAACAGCTCGTCAGCAAGGACATCAGCGAGTCAGACTACTCTGCAGCCAGCTAGTCTATCAGTCTCTCCATCAGTCAGCCAGCCAGTCAGCCTGTGCTTTGGTCCAGTGGTCTCTCATTCTGTTTGTCAGCCAATGCCATTTCCTCAAAGAAGCTCCCTCCAGCTTCTGAAACCAAAGTAGTCACACATGCACACATTCACACCCACCCATCCACCCATCCCCCAGTCCAGGGTATTCTGTGTTCTGGTAGGTCTCTCTACTTTTCCTTCATAGTGCTTATCATACCTTGCAATCATATTCCTCTGTGTGATTATTTCATTTATGTCTTTGTTTTTTTTTTTTTTTTTTTTTTTTGGCCACACCACGAGGCTTGTGGGATCTCAGTTCTCCGACCAGGGATTGAACCCAGGCCACCACAGTGAAAGCGCTGAGTCCTAACCACTGGACCGCCAGGAAATTCCCTTCATTTATGTCTTATTTCCTGATGGTTCATAAACTCCACGAGGGCAGGACCTGCGTTGGCCCCATTCTGGGATGCACAGCTGCACATCCCAACGGGTCGCGTGGTCCATGAGCCATCTAGCCAGTGCGTAGCAGCTTGCTGGGTGGACAGAGTGGAGCACGGGAGCATTTCAGTCAGAGGGAACAACATAGGTTAAGGTATGAATGGGTAAAACGACAAGGCCTCTCTAGCACCCTGTAAATGAGGTGGTGTTGCTGGAGCATACGGTGAGGGACGGTGGCGGGAGGAGGGCAGAGTTAGTGGGAGATATGCTTGGAGCTATAGGTTGGGTCACAAGAGGCTTTGTGTGATGTTGGAACGCAGTGGGTTTTAGGTGATGTGCTATTAAAGATTTTAAGTGAGAGTTGTGTTTTAGGAAGACACTCAGGCAGCAATATGGAGGTGAAGTGGGTAGAGCCTAGAAGCAGAGAGGCCGATCAGGAGGCTACTGAAGGTCTTGAGGTTAGTGTGTCCCCACCTTTTCCATATCATGAAAATGCCACAATTTGTACGACCCACTGGAATAAACAGATGAGGCACCTTGTGGCCAGAGGCAACAGGACCCAGAAGCCGAGGGGCTCAGGATCTCAGCACACTTGTGACGCATTCACATATACCTTGAGAAGTTTTGGCCTTGGAGGAAGATGTTGAGGGTCCGAAATAAAGCAGTGGCAGCAGTGACGGCCATGATGTCTGTGAACGCTCTGGAGGCCAGCTTAGCAGGTCTTGGGACCTCATAGTAATGGCGGTAGCAGCTATCCATACCCAAACCTCTGTCATTGGTGGTAGGGGGTGAGGCAGAAAGGAAGGGCATCTTATTCTCCCCCACCCCCATTCTATTCCCCTTCTGTCTCTACTTTGTTGTACCCAGAGTTGACCATTCTGTTGTGATTAAGAAGCATGCATTAACTGGAGGTACAGACATCCCCTCTGCCCCTTCCAAATGATGACCCAAAGGTAACCTCTCATCCCTGGTCCCTTTCTCACTGGAGAAAGGAGACATTGCTCTTCCGAGTATGGATGGTTCCTTTTTTTTCCTGATGGTATTGAATGAGTTCCATAGGAGCATCGCTAACTCATTGCCTGTGGGGCAGAATCCGAATGCCTTACCGTGGCGTGCTGTAGAATTGGATGAACAATAACTATTAAACAACTCAAGAGAGGATTCGATCCAGCACAAGATTGTACGATATAGACCCAGCACTGTACGAGCTCTGAGATAGGAAGAGTTCAAGGGGGAAATAGACTAGAGATGGTGACTTTGGGATCCCCAGCTCAAAAGTGAAAGTTGATGCCCTCGTGGAGAACTGAGGGCTGAGCACTGAGCCTGGGACATCGAGTGGGGAGGTTGCACAAGAAGAGAGAGACAGAGATGGAGGTGGTCAGAGATTATAGAACCAGAGCACAGTGTCACCTCACAGAAACAGAAGCCAAGAGAAGAATTTCCAGTGGACAAGGAGATCACTGTTGACAAATGAAACAAGCTGAGAGGTGTGAAAATGAATACAGACAATTGTATTAAACTGGAAAGAAGCTTTTCTCTTAGATCAGGTGGCAAACTATGGCCCATGAACCAAACCTGACCCGCCACTGCTTATTTCTGGAAACAGTTTTCTTAGAATACCGTCACATCCATTTGTTTAGCTTACAGATGATCTATGGCTTTTCTCACACTACAATAGCAGAGGTCTTGCAACACAGCCCGTGTGTCCCACAAGGCCTAAAATATTTACGATTTAGCCCTTTGCAGAAAAAGTTTGCCAACCCATGGTCTATATGAACTGAAAATATTCAACTCAAGCTACGTGTCAGGATCCTGAGAAATAGCAAAGAAAACTGGTACAACTTTAGCTAAAAGCTGAGCTGGTTTGGATTCACAATTGTTCCCAAGGTGATGATCCAGCCAAAGAAGGCTAGTCTAGTTGGTGACCAAGTTCCATCAAGTCTTCATTATGTCCCTTTTTACTGCCAGTACCCTAGTGGGGGCCCTAATCACCCCTCACCTCACTCCTCACCCCTCACTAGTCAGAGAAGAGACTCATTCCCTGCTCTTAATTCTTTTAGCTCTTAATGCCTGGTCCGGGAACCCTCAAAAGACGAGATGCGCCACGACCCCATGGCTCCCTCTTCAGCCAGTCTTCAGTGGTCTTTATCTGGAGGCCACTGCCCTATGGCAGGGAGAATACTCTCATGGCTGACTTCAGTCTGACCCAGATTTATTTTCAAACCATAAAATTACAATGCAGATATTGGGAAGGTTTCTTAAAAAGGTACTGATTTTTTGGGTATATCGTTGCCAGGTCTCTGAAGCAGTCAACTAGCTAACGCCAAGATTAATTTGACTGATTTACGGTCAGGAACAGAAGTCAACAGGGTATGCTAGTATTTTCCAACGTGGGTTAAACAAGACAAAACAGAAAAAGCAACCCTACTACCATGAGATGTTCTATGAAAATAGATTTTTCCATCAAATAATTGGAAAAAGTTGGAATACTAAAGCCCTCTGGAAGTTTCACAGTGCACGTTAATATATTAAAGGATCTGAGAATTCCCATAAGTATAACTATCTGCATAGCTTTGTTTAACTCAGCATTTCACCACGTATTTGACCAAGGAACTCTTTTAAGGAGCACCAGTTAACATCGTGAGAGCACTTTGGGAAACAGAGGAAAACGGGGGGGAGAGCATGAAGGTCTGAGCAGGACTGCAGACCATAAAGACTTTGTGGCCCAGAAGACACAGTGAGAACCAGGTTGCACAGAGTGTCCATGTCCGGGGGGCTGTTCTGGGTACCATAACAGGTTATAGCGATGAGCAAGAGATAGCTTGTGCACTTGAGGAACTTCCTGTCAAGGATGTTCCCCAACCTAGCCTAGACTCCCAGGTTCAGCCCTGCTCTCCCGGCAGGCCTGCACATCTGCTGAGCCCCAAAAAACCCAAACAGCCACACAGCAGTCATGTGATGTTATATTTTAGTCTTTTTCAGTAAAAGTGGTTCATTAAATGTGTAATTAAAGGTTGATTTAGTTTTGATACCTGGGTAAGAATTTACTATAAATGAATTCTCAAATCAGAAGAAATTATTTGTCAGGCTATGTGCCTTAATTTGGGGTTCAGAAAGTATGTTCTCATAACTATGCAAGTCATCTTGCCTTTGCTGTTGTTCTGTTGGACACGCACCTGCTCTGCTCCTTCCTGTGTCTTCACATTTCCTCCCATGTCTCCCCCAGCCTCTGGTGCTGTTGATGGAGTGGCCCGAAGCCACCAACTTTGCCTGCCTGATTGCGGGGTACTGCCGCCTCCTGCTGGATTCCAGGAAGATGGTCTTCTCCAGGCCTGCTAGCCAGCCTCTCCCACCTCCAATGATCAAGGCAGGTAGGGCTGAGTCTCGGTTTTCAGTGTAACAGAGGCCCTTTGGACCCTGGAGACATGGAATGCTCACCCCATTCTGCCAGCGCCTGGTTTACCAGGAGCCCATGCTGTACCACTGCGTCCTACGTGGCACAAGACAGTGGAAAAGACAGCTGGCCTTCAGATGGGCCTGTCCCACAAAGGATGCCTGTGACAATACCTTGTGTCTTAGTTGATCAAGGAACGTAAGATAAAAATAGCAAACGAGCAATACGTAGAGCCAATTCGAGAATTGCATTGGATCTAAGGCAAAGCTTTAGAGCTACAGTGATCTAAGAGAGATGCACGGGTGTTCTGGCTTAGTTGAAAGTGGAGGTGGAAACTGAAGCTAAAACCTTTCTTTGTCCATCAGAGTCGGCATTGACAGAGCTGCCTGAAGTAAGAGGCCATGGAAGGCTGGGATAGGAAAGGCTGTGCAGGCCCAGAATGCAATCCAGCAGGAGGCTTGGAGATAGGAGGGGACGATCACTGAGAACAAACAGGGTCAAGTGCTGCCCCCAAACAGAAGGCTTCCCAGTTAGGCAACTCAGTACAGCCACCCCTCAGGGCTGTCCTGGTGGTGACACAAACAGGGGCCTCAGGACAAATCGGCCCAGTCCAGATGCTGCTGCCCCGAACCAGGGTAGGAGGAGAAGGGGGAGACCCAAAGAACAGGTACTCTACGTATTAGACCCGAGGCTTTCCCCATCCCTGCACCCAAACATCACGGGTGGAAGCTGAGACTGACCACCCAGGAGTCACCCTCCTCACGTGCTGATGGCTCCATCCACTTGCCTTGCTGCTTGACTCTTTCTTCTCTCTTCAAAGCTGTCTTGGTTTACGGCGTGGTCCCATGTGATCTAGAGCGAGGAGTTTGAGAGTAGAAACACTCCTTTTTTTTTTTTGGTGGTGGGGGGCCATGCTGCACAGCTTGCAAGATCTTAGTTCCCCGACCAGGGATCGAACCTGCAGGGCCCCCTGCAGTGGAAGCGCGGAGTCCTAACCACTGGACCGCCAGTGAAGCCCCTAGAAACACACTCCTGATGGATGACCAGCACCCCGTGGGCCGTGTACCTACACCCACCCTCTCACCTCATGATCTCTTCATCACAAACGTCGTGACAGGCCCACGTTTACATCTCGTCACGTCCACAGGAATTAGAAGGCAATCCACCACAGATGTGGGAAAGGATAGGTGGCCTCAAAGCATATGAAGGAGGCTTCACATAGAGAAGCAAAGGAACTGACTTAGAATAGAAGGAGCCCAGGGGCTGAGCTGCCACACGCCTCCAGGTGAATAGCTCTGAAGCGGTGGCCATCTGTACTATCAAATCTCAGATGGCCAAAGGAAAGCAAGGCCGGCATTAGCTTTGTCAGTGTCCCCTGTGGTCTTCCTCTCTGTCATCACACCCAATGATACCTCTTACTGAGCAGGATAGAGAGGGAGAAAGGGAAAAGGGAAGCTGTTCCAAAGGCAAATTGATTTCTCTTGGAGGTGTTGCAGCCTGGAAAGGAGACTTCTAGAAATAACGGGCATGGCTTTAGAGCCCCTCCCTGATTCCTGAGAGCCTCCTTGGGCCTGCAGAGTGACGGGGGCTCAGGCTGCCTCTAGCACAAGGCCTCTCTGTCCATACAGGAGCCACATGGACCACGGTGGTGTCCCTGCTGTTTGCAGTGCTTCACTTCCCCAAGGCCCTGAGTCCACGCTTGGGGCCCAGATGTGTGGCATTTGGGACTGTTAGATGCTGGGTTCAACAGCAGCCACCCAGTGCTCTTGGCCAGTGGGACAGGGTGAGCCTCACAGCTCCGCTTGTCGGGGGCTGGTATGCACATCTTATCCCATGGCCCCAAGGACGGGCAAGGGGGACAGCAAGCAGCACCACTGAGGAGACCTCTGCCCAGGTTACAGTGAGGGGCCATCAGTCCCTGGTACAAAGTTGAGATGGGTTTCCTCCATTGGCCCGCACTTTCATATCAGAACAGAAGCCCCAGTGCTACCTGTTGTTTGGCAAAGGCCTATCGGAAACAGGAATCTTGCCAACCTCAGCGGGGCCTTTCCCTCGGGGGCCAAAACTCCAGCCTACTCAGGGCCTGGTCTCTCTGGCTGGCCCTCTACTCTCGTTCCTCTGCAGCCGCTGGCTGCCAGCTAGCCAACTCAATGCTCAGCCGGCTGGGCCAAAAGGATGCTGTTAAACCCACAAGTGGAGAAGGGAAAGCATCACCTCTCCTTTGAGACCGAGAAAACAAAAGGAAAATGGGGAAGTGGGATGGAAGGGATTACCTCTTAGGCTTTATCAGTAGTTTCCCCACAGTAGGTATTTCATTTATTCACCCAACAACTATTTCTCGATTATTCATTATGTGCCAGGCCTTGCGGATAGAGCCATGAGTAACAGACGTCGTCCTTGCCCTCACTGAGCTTACAATCTAGTGGGGGAATACGGACAGATGATTAAAGGGATAATGTCAATGCAGTAAGTACATTTGCATTTATTTAGGGGAAATTCAGCTGACACAACAGAACAACACCTGGGCTTGAGAAAGGCTCAGACAAATACCAGTTCTCCAGCTGTACCGCTGGTGGGAAATCCAGAGGCAGCTACCATCTCTCCAGCCTTGAATTCACTTGTGTCCTGGGGAAATCCAGGAAAATAAGGCTTTGGGGGCCCCAACTGGGACCACAGTTGGAGGAACTCACTCTACATTTTCTCCCATGGTTAGAAAACAGTTTGGTCTAGTGAATTGAATATTGGTTAAAGGCTACTACATAGCCCATGCGTGGCTTACTGATTTTCATGAAGTTAAAACTCCACAACATGCAGAGTGGTAAAGCTAGACTGAACATAACAGACTCTTTTTTTTTTAATGATGATTCAGAAAGAACATGAACGTATTCCAAGTCTTCTAGGTCATTATAACCAGTAATGATCATCGGACTATAGAATACAGCAAGGCCAAGTAATAGAAAGCTGGTTGGGTCAACATCGTGCTGTGTGTGTGTGTGTGCGTGTGTGTGTGTGCGATATATATTTGAGCATATATATATGCTGATCTACTTGGATCACCGTCCTGTTTCTTTGCAAGCATTTCTTTTAAGTCAGCCTGCCGAGTGGCTGAGTACAGAGCGATAGACTAGGGCATCCCTCTTGGGGAAAGCTGATGAGCAATTTACAGCAGATTCACAATCTGAGAGGCATGCTGTCCCAGCCATCAGCCTACCGCACCTGGCTTTACTGGCATTTCTAACCTTCTGTCCAGAGGAGATTTGGGCTTTTCCAGGCACATTTTCTCCTCCACACAGCCCCATGCTGCTTCTTGGATCTGCAAATCACAATACCGAGTGGCAGGCTGCGCATCACCTGGCCTTGATAACCTGATGCTGGGAGATGTTTCCGTCTTGCAGGGAGGGAAGCCACCGTTAGACTTCCAGATCTTGTCTGAGAGAAGTCACCACCTGCTTATTGGACACGCCCATGGGAGCCACCTCGGATGGCAGCTTATTGCCAGGCTGGCTATGCTGATTGTTCAGCTGTGTCACAGGGAGTTAGCACGGGTACATGGCGAGGACCCATGGACAGTGCCTGCGGGTAGACTTCCTGAACTGATAGTTTGTGCTCCTGGCTCAGTGCTCCCCTAGAGCACTTCTTACCTAAGGCACAGAGGTCATTACATACTACTCCCCCAGCTGACCCAGAGTTCCCTAGATACAGCCACTATGATCTAAACTGAACCCACTCAGTGTGGTTACATTGACTGTATAGAGAGGCAACATGGCTTATGGAAAACAGCAGGGGTTGGGATCTGAAGTCAGAAAGACTTGGGTTCCAGTCCCTGCTCTGCCATGTCCCAGCTGTGTGATCATGAGGATAATAATAGTTCCTGCCTCATGAGGGATTGACAGGCTCGTGTGAGATAAACCCCATAAGGTCCTTTCAAGTACAGAGCACATTTTTGCTCTTTTTATAATGATTGGGAGTTCATCATGTACCCAGGGCTGTGCTTTTTATTAAAAAAAATAACTTTATTTAGACATAATTTCTAAGCCATAGAATTCACCCATTTAAAGTTCACAACTCAGTGTTTTTGAGTATATTTAATATATTCACAGGGTTGTACAATCCTTGCCACATTTTTTTTTTTTTTTTTGGTACGTGGGCCTCTCACTGCTGTGGCCTCTCCCGTTGCGGAGCACAGGCTCCGGACGCGCGGGCCCAGCGGCTATGGCTCACGGGCCCAGCCGCTCCGCGGCATGTGGGATCCTCCCAGACTGGGGCACGAACCCTGTCCCCTGCATCGGCAGGCGGACTCTCAACCACTGCGCCACCAGGGAAGCCCCTTGCCACATTTTAAAAAAAATAAATTTGTTTATTTATTTGTTTGTTTGTTTATTTTTGGCTGTGTTGGGTCGCAGGCTTTCTCTAGTTGCGGCGACCGGGGGCTACTCTTCATTGCAGTGCGCAGGCTTCTCATTGTGGTGGCTTCTCTTGTTGCGGAGCATGGGCTCTAGGTGTGCGGGCTTCAGTAGTTGTGGCTCGCTGGCTCCAGAGCGCAGGCTCAGTAGCAACGGGCTTAGTTGCTCCGTGGCATGTGGGATCCCGGACCAGGTCTCGAACCCATGTCCCCTGCATTGGCAGGCAGATTCTCATCCACTGCGCCCCCAGGGAAGCCCCTTGCCACAATTTAGTTTTAGAATGTTTACACCCCTTCTAAAACAAACTCTGTACCCATTAGCACTCATTCCCATTCCCCCACCCAGCCCTAAGCAACCACTAATTGACTTTTCTGTCTCTATAGCTTTGCCTATTCTGGACATTTTGTATAAATGGAATTATATAATATATGGTCTTTTTGTAGCTTGGTTTTTTTCACTTAGCATAATATTTTCAAGGGTCATCCATGTTGCAGCATGTATCAGTACTTCATTTCTTTTTGTTGACTAATAATATTCCTTTGTATGGATAGACCACATTTTGTTTATCCATTCG